AAGTCAAAACTGTAACTCTGCCACTCAGGAACATTCACTGTCTTCTTGGTAGGCAACTCCAGTGTAGATTTGGCCTTGTGTTTTAGGTTATTGTCCTGCTGAAAGGTGAATTAATCTCCCAGTGTCTGGTGGAAAGCAGACTGAACCAGGTTTTCCTCTAGGATGTTGCCTGTGCTTAGCTCCATTCCATTTCCTTTTTTTTTTATCCTGAAAAACTCCCCGGTCTTTAACAATTACTTTTTTTGTAAGATTTGATTAGATTTTGCTTACAATACAAAAAAATACATAAACAAAGATAATGGACAACTTAACATTTATGTACATTCTTTTCTACAATGACATCACACTTGCTCTCTAAGATGGCGCCGTACTTTACGGCTGCTGTTTTGCAAGCTCCGACCCAACTTTGCTATTTTGTGATTATTTTGTTGTTTATTTTTACTTTAATTTCAATAAATGTATCCGCTATTATTTCTTACAACCGACAATAACTTTTGAACATCGGATCGTTAATTACTTACCCCAATTCCGGCTTCAACTTCGACTCATCTGACCTGGGCTCTGTAATTCCGACCCAATTTTTGAGCTACCCAAGAGGAAATGCCTTTCCCTCCATTCTACTGGCCAGTCACTCGATAATAAGATGGATGAACTCGAAACTGCAATATTCTTTGCTTTTCTGAAACATGGCTCTCGGACAAGATATCCCCCATGGCTATCCAACTTGATGGATTATCCATTCACCGGGTGGACAGGACAGTGGAGTCGGGAAATTGAGGTGGGGAGGGGTTTGCTTCTACATCAACACCAACTGGTGTGCTAACTCCAGCACAGTAGAAGTGTCGACCCACTGTTCACCCGTCTTGGAATACCTGATGGTCAAATGCCGACCCTTCCACCTCCCGAGGAAGTTTTCAGTTGTTATCGTGACTGTTGTATACATTCCACCTCAGGACAAGAAAAATAACACGCTGGCACTTAACGAACTGTGCAAGGCTATAACCTCTTAACCTCTACGGGATCGGTGTCCCGTATATGGGACGGTTGAGCTAACGTGCGCTAATGTGATTAGCATGACCGTTGTAAGTAACAGCAAACTTTACAGGACATAGACATGTCTTATATGGGCAGAAAGCTTACATTATTGTTAATCTAACTGCACTGTCCACTGCCCGGCCATCTAGTTAGTGTATAAGCTAATGATCCATCATGTATGACATTCCTGGGAGTGTGTAAACTTACATTTTGTATTACCATATCATTTTTGTATGTACTCTACAGTTATGTACTTGAAAATGTATCAATTGACCAATTCGGCACATTTGGGCAGACTTCATACAAAATAGTCCAGTATTGCAACGCTTCACTGGATCAATCTGAAACTATGCACACACACTGCTGCCATCTAGTGGCCAAAATCTCAATTGCCCCTAAACTGCAATATTATATTGTGGCCTTTCTCTTGCATTTCAAAGATGATGGAACCAAAAAATTATAATAATATGAATGTTTTTTTGTTTGTATTATCTTTTACCAGATCTAGGGGTGTAACGATCCATCTACTACATCGATGTATCGATTTCTATTCCTATGATCCAACTACATCGATCTGTGCTCGGCGAGTTGGCCTTTTGGACAACATATATCAATCTAACATCATTTTAAAATGTAATAAATCGATTGTATCGATACTAGGAAATAACCCATTGGATTTAAGCACGTCAGACTTTATATGGATGTTTTTTCTTAGCACTTTTAATGATAAAGGCTTTAAACATTACTCGATTCAGTCTGCCTATCCGTGACGTCATCGCCCCGCGCCAGCAGCAGCGCAAAGGCGCAAAGACAACAAAACATAGCATGGCGGACGACAGAGGAGAAGCCGACGAGCGAGAAATTATCAAGCCACCATTGCGGTCCTTACAAGAAACAGGAATCTAGGAAACTTCACCTGCACTGTCCAGTATCCAGGTATTTATTTCAGTCACACTGGTTGAATTTTTGGCTAAAAGGTTACTGAATCGATTTCAAGTCACTGAATCGTTTCGGATCGTATCGTTCTAAATGAACCAATAACGTCCTTGAATCGTATCGACAACCACGAATCGTGATACAAATCGAATCGTTGTTAAAACAAATCGTTACACCCCTAACCATATCTAATGTGTTATATTCTCCTACATTAATTTCACATTTCCACAAACTTCAAAGTGTTTCCTTTCAAATGGTTTCAAGAATATGCATATCCTTGCCTCATGTCCTGAGCTACAGCCAGTTAGATTTGGGTATGTCATTTTAGGCGAAAATTTAATAAAAGGGTCTGATCCTTAAGAGGATTAACAAGCAAGAAAACCTACATCCAGAGGCTGCCTTTCTGGTTGCCGGCGACTTTAATTCTGTGTCACTAAGACACGTGATGCCCAACTTCCGTCAACGCGTCTCCAACGCCACTAGGGGCGATAAAGTCCTAGACCCCTGTTATTCTACCCACAAGCAAGCATACAAGGCCCTCCCTCATCCGACATTTGGCAAAATCCTCTTAACAAGCAGAAACTCAAACAGGAAGTACCTGTGAGTCACTCCATTGAGAAATGGTCACCAGAACCAGAGATTATACTACTGGACTGCTTTGCTAGCACTGATTGGAATATGTTTTGAGACTCCGCCGATAACATTAACGAGTTAACCACCTCTGTCACCGGGTTCATTAGAAAATGTATCAGCGACGTTGTCCTCACGGTGAGGGTTCGCTGCTTCCCCAATCAAAAGCCCTGGATTAACACAGATGTTAGCGCTAAACTAAAGGACAGGGCTACCACACACAGAGCTATCATAGACAACCCTAAGGCTACGGCCGAGGACAGGAGTAAGTACAATAAGTCCTGCTATGACCTCTGCAAAGCCCTCAAACAAGCAAAAGGACAGTATAGGAATAAGGTGGAATCATATTTCACAGGCTCTGACACCCACTGCATGTGGCAGGGGCTACAGTCCATTACAGATTACAAAGGAAGACCCAGCCATGACCTGCCCAACGATGCCTCTCTACCAGACGAACTTGGAACTTCCCTTTCCTCTTCCCTCTCCTTTCACAACAACAAGATCGAGCCGGGTGTGAGGGCCGTCACTGACCCAGAGGATTGGGTGATCTCGCTCTCCGAGGGCGACATGAGAAGGGTCTTTAATCAGGTCAACACCAACAAGACTGCGGTCTCCAACGGTATTCCAGAGTGTGTTCTCAGAGCATGTGCAGAACAGCTGGCAGGCATATTCACTGTAATTTTCGACCTCTCCTTGTCTCAGCCTGTAATCCCCACATGTTTTAAGATGACCATCATCATTCCTGTCCCCAAGAACTCTAAGGCATCATGCCACAATGTCTACCACCCTGTAGCACTCACTTCTGTAATCATGAAGTGCTTTGAGAGGCTGGTTATGGTACATTAACTCCACCATCCCCCAAAGCCCTAGACCCACTCCAATTTACATACTGCCCCAACAGATCCATAGATGACACAATCTCAATTGCTCTCCACACTGCCCTCACCCACCTAGATAAGAGGAATACCTATGTGAGAATGCTGTTCATTGACTACAGCTCAGGGTTCAACAACATTGTCCCCTCCAAGCTCGGCACCAAGCTTAGGATTCTGGGTCTGAACACCTCCCTCTGCAACTGGATCCTGGACTTCCGAACGGGCAGGCCCCAGGTGGTGAGGGTAGGCAACATCACCTCCGCCACGCTGACCCTCAACACAGGGGCCCCACAGGGGTGTGTGCTTAGTCCCCTCCTGTACTCCCTGTTCACCCACGTCTGCGTGGCCACGCACGACTCCAACACCATCATCAAGTTTGCTGACGACACAACGGTGGTAGGCCTGATCAAAGGCGATGATGAGTCAGCCTACAGGGAGGAGGTCAGTGACCTGGCAGTGAGGTGCCAGAACTACAACCTCTCCCTCAACGTCAGTAAGACCAAGGAGCTGATCGTGGACTACAGGAAACGGGGGGGGGGGGGGCGAACACGCCCCCATCCACATTGACGGGGCTGCAGTGGAGCAGGTCGAGAGTTTCAAGTTCCTCGGTGTCCAAATCACTAAAGACTTAAAATGGTCCGTACACAGTGCCTCTTCCCCCTCAGGAGGAAAGTTTGGCCCTCAAATCCTCAAAAAGTTATACAGCTGTACCATTGAGACCATTTTGACTGGTTGCATCACTGCCTGGTATGGCAATAGCAACGCCTTCGATCGCATGGCGCTACAGAGGGTGGTGCAGACAGCCCAGTACATCACTGGGGCCGAGCTACCTGCCATCCAGGACATCTATATCAGGTGGTGTAGTTGGAAGACCTGGAAAATCTAATAACAAAATAGCTACACGTTAGCCTTGTATCTTTATTGACCTTTTATTTGTATTTGAACACTCACAGGGCCCTACACTCTCACTCCATCATCTGCTCACTCACACATCAATGTGCGCATACATTTATACTGACTCTACACACACGCACACCCACTCATGTACAAGCTGCTGCTACTCTGTTTATCGTATATCCTATTGCCTAGTCACCTTACCCTTATACATATCTACCTCCATCACTCCAGCATCCCTGCACATTGTAAATATGGTATTGGTATTCAAAAATAATGTTAAACACTATTATTGCACACAGAGTGAGTCCATGCCACTTATTATGTGACTTGTTAAGCACATTTTTACTCCTGAATGTATTTAGGCTTGCCATAACAAAGGGGTTGACTCAAGCATTTCAGTTTACATTTTTAATTAATTTGTAAAAATGTCTAAAAACATAATTCCACTTTGACATTATGGGGTATTGTGTTTAGGCCAGTGACACAAAATCTCAATTTAATCAATTTTAGGCCGTAAGACAACAAAATGTGGAAAAAATTAAAGGGGTGTGAATACTTTCTGAAGGCACTGTATATGATGATAAAATAGTGCATGTGTTGCAGGTGATCTATCACCTATTTCTCCACTCTTTTCTTCACATACTCCAGTAGACTGTCCTGCATGCTCTCACTATGGAGGATCTGCTGGGGAACGGTCTTTACCATCCAACCCTATAGAGACAACACGCACATGTACATGCACGCGCACATGCACGCACACACACACACACACACACACACACACACACAGACAGACCTGGTTTCAGTGATGGCTCTGACTATTCACTGTAAATACTTCTACTTTCTGTAAATGTTCTCATGTGTTTTACCAGTACTGTATGACAGATGCTGCCGTAGGTCTTGTCCCCGGCTAGGAGGTACTCCAGGGACGTCCTGACAAAGTCCTCCGCTGTCAGGGTCACCATGTTGGGCTTCTGGTAGCCCGTCATGGGGGTGGACACCCCAAATGGAGCCACTGCCTGTGACACAGAGACACAGGAAAGAGGAATAGAGTAAAGCAGACAAATAGAGTAGACAAGGTCAGAGGTCAGTTCCATTTCAATTCAGTCAAGTGGGGAAGTGAATTCAACTTCCAGTTGAAGAATTGAAAAGTGCCATTTATTTCCCTTCAGTACTTTTGAATTATTGATTTAGCTAGAATTTCAATTCACCTGCTAAACTGACTGAATTTCTATAGAATTGACCACAGCACTGATAGCAGATCCCCAGTACAAACCATTGAATACAGTACACAGTCAGTACACGTACGGATAATTTGAGCGCTCTTCCCCCTTTCACATGAATGTAAAATAGATCCATGCACACTGATGCTTAGATGTATCACTGCACCTGTATCATGATTCCTTTAGCTTTATATTCAGCCTGCAGACCTTGAGAGAACCTCTCCACAAACACCTGGACAAAGACAGCCACATAGAAACGTTGAAATCACTTAGATTATTTGTTACACAAACGACTAATTCCAGAAGCATTTTTTTTACAACTGGCTGATCATGCTGTACTTAGATGAAGCTAAGTGAAGCAATTTCAAAGTGAAAGAGACAGCAGGTCTGTACTAGTGAAAGAGATAGCAGGTATGTACTAGTGAAAGAGATAGCAGGTCTGTACTAGCCTTTGATGCGCAGTACATGGTGTATATGGGTGAAGGAACACTGGCCAAACCAGAGGAGATGTTCACGATCACTCCCTTCCCTCTGTAAGGGCATAGGGGACAGTCAGGACCAGAGCCATTTACTGTAGAATATAAATCCAAATACATGGCTCTGGTCAGGACTACCCAGGTTCTCCACCTAACATTTATCAACTTATGTTTATCAAGCAATTAACAGACTTTTAGATTTGACCAATTTCAGTTTCAGTAAAAATAAACTGAACTTTTGATGAATTGACAATACGAAGTCTCAATATTAGATTGAGGTAAACCTATCTCCAAAAACACCTCATCTCCATCCCTGGCAGGACTATTTGGCACATCTGTGGGATAAAGTATAAAGACAGGTCAGTTAAAAACAAGAAGACACTTAAAGGGATACCCATAGACATCCACTCATTGCGCTAACGCTACTTAGCATTGGCTCGCAAAACTACCTATAACTTCCTTCATACTGGACACAGATACATAAAAATGGTATCCAAAAGTTCATCTGACTCTGGGGAAGTAGATAAAGGGCCTCATTGCCAAAATCCTGAAGTATCCCTTTAAGCATAAACACCACTGACGGAATTCAATATCAGTAGGTCCACCTACCTTGACCAAAGCTTTCACATTGCAGTTGATCATTTTTGTAATTCTCTGGAAGGAAAAAAAATACAATAGTGAAGTGTGTTTCCCTTTCCTTGTCTTCCGTCTACCACCAGGTAATATCAACCATATTATGACGTTACACAGAGTTTTGGATAATGGTGATGGGAGAGAGGTGAGTGTGAGGCACAGGTGAGGTATGAGGACAGGCCAATAGGTAACCAATAGTGTCTGTCTCCTCTCACATTTTAGCAGACACTCTTATCCAGAGCGATTTACAGGAGCAATTAGGGTTAAGTGCCTTGCTCAAGGGCGCATCGACAGATTTTTCACCTAGTCAGCTTGGGGATTAGAACCAGCGGACTTTCGGTTACTGGCACAACGCTCTTAACCACTAAGCTACCTCACCTGTTCCAGGTCTTCAGTCTGCAGGAACTTGCAGGGAATATAACTGGGTAGAATCCCCACGTTATTCACTGTGTGGATTGGATAAGATGAGGTTAACTTTCATCGACATTATTTAGACCATTTTTGGAAATCATTATTTCTCCTTGTTTTATTTACAATACTATACTTAAGCAATAAGTCCTGAGGAGGTGTGGTATATGGCCAATGTACCTCAGCTAAGGGCTGTTCTTATGTGCAACGCAATGCGGAGTACCTGCTATTAGCCATGGTATATTGGCCATATACCACAAACCCCCGAGGTGCCTTATTGCTATTAAAAACTGGATACCAACGTAATTAGAAGAGTAAAAAAAAATTGGGGTCATATCCGTGGTATACGGTCTGATATACCACAACTGTCAGCCAATCAGCATTCAGGGCTCAAACCACCCCGTTTATAATCAAATTTTTTACATTTCCAATAAATACGACTGAATGAAACGACTTTCCGCACACACAAAAATCTGAAAACCACGTACCTAATACACCAATATATAAGCCTTTCAGCTTCTCCTCAATGCACTCGTACATGTCATCCTCAGTGAAGTCGGCTACGATCACTTTCACTTTCTGACCCGTGGTTTCAGCTGTGAAAGAGCAATGTCACAGAATGAATGAAGATCAAGAGATACATGTCATTGATCCCATTGACCTAACATCTAAACAGTCCCCAATGAAAATGTTGATCATCCCAGAAGAAGAAGAAGGACGTTAGTTCCTCCCACCTATCTCCAGTGCCACCCGGTCCAGTTTGTCCTTGGTTTTGCTCAGGATCACCACGTTCAGCCCACGTCCTGCCAGCTGCACAGGTGGGATTGAACCACAGGAGTTGGTGATAGACAGACAGGAGGGATTGAACCACAGGAGTTAGTGATGGACAGACAGGTAGGATTGAACCACAGGAGTTAGTGATGGACAGGTTGGATGTCACAGGCACATTCAGAAACAGTAATGGGAACTTACTTCAAAGGCGTATGCCCTCCCTATCCCGTCTGACCCACCAGTGACCACTGCAACAGAGGAAGATGGGATAGGATGTCACTGGAAAATCTCTTTCCACATCGCTGATAGAAGTAACCAGGCAGTAATATTTCCCACCACTAGAGGCTTCATTCACCACAGCATGGGTGGACCTGCTCCACTTGGAACTTCCCTTTCCTCTTCCCTCTCTTCTCCTGCAGACAATCAAAATAGGAATTTTCTTCTGTGTTTGTTTGCATGTGCTATCTTGTCCTGACACAGTGTACTCATATACATACAGCGTGTTCCTCAGTTCTGATAAAAGAACCGCAAGGACAGAGAACCAACAGGAGATCAGTCTGTGTGTTTAATTTGACCTTTGTCCTGATGAGTCTGGTTTCTGTTCACACACACACACACACTCACGCACACACACGTATACACACATGCACACGCACGCACACACATTAACACATAAATGCAGCATGTACTCATTCAATAATTATTATTATTATTTATATTATTATTAACTGTGTGTTTTAGAGCAGATGTTTGACTTTATACAATGGGTGGGGTCTAATCCTGAATGCTGATTGGTTAAAATCGCATTCCAGCCGGTGTCTATTCCACAAGTTACCACAGGCTAAATCTATGATGTTAAAATGCCTATTTACTCTGTTCCATCTGACTGCGCAGTCCACTGTCTCATCAGCCCAGCCAGGCAATTTATTAACTTGATCTCCGCTATAAAAAGCATCTAGACATTATCTCACATTTCTTTTAGACTAACATTTAGTTTTCAACAGTGGATATTTGTATAAACATTGCTGTCTGTCTCGCTGACATTTGCAACATTGTTTCAATATTTAAATTAGATATCCAGCTGTCCCATAGTAATGAACGTGTCGGGAGTTGGGACGAGACAGAGAGGGAGGCAGAGTTTCTCAGCCAGTTGAAATCATGAATCAGCTGGCATAATTTTTGGGATATATACAAAGAAATGTTAATTGACAAAAGGTGAAACGAAATGAAGTGCAAATAGTTTGCAGTCTTTCCAGCTTCAGTCTGAAGTGATTGTGTTAACTGTGTTGTTGGCTAGCTCCTCTGAACAACAGTGTCCTGACGAGTGAGCACATTTCCTATGCCAGGCGAAATAGTGCCTCATTAGCTCATTGTTATGGATGTATCCAAATAAATGTAACTAGAAAAGAGCTTAAACAAATACAAATGCAGCTACTTTGTTGTTATTCTGGCTGCACTGTTTGAAGTGACTATAAGTTAGCCGTAGTTGGCTAGCTAGCAAGCAAGGGATAAGAACGTTGCCAGCCAGTATGGCAATGGAACATTTAGAACGAACGACTGGGTCGCGTCTCTGGCAACCAAACCGATAGAACGAACTACCAGCCAGCTTGGGTAGTGTCAGTGTGAAATGTGGATGTGGTGCAGGAATCAGGCGCAGGAAACAGAGGCTTCGTCCAACAGGCTTTAGTAAATACACAAAAAAACAAACGGGCTTCAACAAGAGCCCGGAAGGCAAAACACGAAAATTATGCACACAACGCGTAAAACTCTACTCGCCAAAATAGCGCGCACAACAAGTGCGGAAACTCTCTCCTATCCAATGGAGGAAACAAACACTGCACCTCTGACCGGTGAACAATTACACACAACACAAGACTCAAACAACGAAAACGTATAGGACACATAATAAGCACAAAACAGAAACAGGTGTACCAATAAGACAAAACCAAACAAACATCGAAAACATACAACGGTGGCAGCTAGTACTCGGGGGACGACGACCGCCGAAGCCTGCCCGAACAAGGAGGAGGAGCAGCCTCGGCCGAAACCTGTGACAGGTAGCAACCCTAGATTTGTGTCGGGCCTATATATTGCGGAAGGATGAAATAGTATGAATAAATTCATCAAAATAACGTTTCTAATGAAAATATGTCAATCATTATTCGACTTAGTCTCGGGCCTAACAACACCCGTGCCAATATGTCCTCCAAACACAGGCTTCTGGGGCATTATCACTTAAGAAGAACTGTCACGAGTGGAGTGTAGTGGGATGTGGAATCACACGCAGGACACAGAATATAAATCCAAAGGTCTTTAGTGAAGTCCGTAGAAACACGCCAACAACGGCCACAGGCCACAGGCGAAATACACGCACACTAAACTGAACAAAGTAAGTGTGCACAAAGTGCAGGACTCTCTAAATCAAACGAAATAAAGAGAGAACAAAATACAGCGGACCAAAACTACCACACGACAGTCAAACATGAAACATCGAACGGTGGCAGCTAGTACTCCGGAGACGACGACCGCCGAAGCCTGCCCGAACAAGGAGGAGGGGCCGCCTCGGCCGAAACCGTGACAGTACCCCCCCTTGACGCGCGGCTCCAGCCGTGCGCCACCCCCGGCCTCGGGGACGACCAGGAGGACACGGAGCAGGGCGCGTAGGATGACCACGATGGAATTCGGTCAGAAGGGACGGGTCCAGGATGTCCCTCCTCGGCACCCAGCACCGCTCCTCCGGGCCGTACCCCTCCCACTCCACGAGATATTGGAGACCCCCCATCCGGCGTCTCGAATCTAGGATGGCCCGAACAGTGTACGCCGGAGCCCCCTCGATGTCCAACGGGGGCGGAGGAGTCTCTTCTATCTCAAAGTCCTGGAGTGGACCAGCTACCACCGGCCTGAGGAGAGACACATGGAACGAGGGGTTAATATTTTTGTAATCAATGGGCAGTTGTAACCTGTAACACACCTCGTTCAATCTCCTCAGGACTTTAAAAGGCCCCACAAACCGCCGACCCAGCTTCCGGCAGGCACTATATCCTCGGGTACCCCGTAATGCCGGAAGACGTGAGTAAATAGAGCCTCAGCGGTCTGTAGGGCAGTAGGAAGACCCGGCATGGGAAGGAGACGACAGGCCTTCGAGAACCGATCCACAACGACCAGGATGGTGGTATTCCTCTGTGAGGAGGGAAGGTCGGTAACAAAATCCACCGAGAGGTGAGACCAGGGTCGTTGTGGAACGGGCAGGGGTTGTAATTTACCCCTGGGCAAGTGTCTGGGCGCCTTACACTGGGCACACACTGAGCAGGAGGAGAAATAAATCCTCACATCCCTGGCTAACGTTGGCCACCAGTACTTTGTACTAAGGCAGTGCACTGTCCGGCCAATACCTGGATGTCCAGAGGAGGGTGACGTGTGAGCCCAATAAATAAGCCGATCCCGGACCTCGAGCGGGACGTACGTCCGACCCACCGGACACTGTGGAGGGCTAGGGTCGGTGCGTAATGCCCGCTCGATCTCCGCATCGACCTCCCATACCACCGGTGCAACCAGACAAGACTCAGGTAGTATGGGAGTGGGTTCCACGCACCTCTCCTCTGTGTCATACCGCCGAGACAGGGCATCTGCCTTCCCGTTCTGGGACCCAGGGATGTAAGTGATCTTAAACACAAACCGGGCGAGAAACATAGTCCATCGAGCCTGGCGAGGATTCAGTCTCCTAGCTGCCCGAATGTATTCCAGGTTACGGTGGTCAGTCAGAATGAGAAAAGGGTGTTGAGCCCCTTCAAGCCAATGCCTCCACACCTTTAGGGCCTGTACTACGGCTAACAGCTCCCTGTCCCCTACGTCATAATTCCCCCCTGCCGGACTGAGCTTCTTAGAATAAAAAGCACAGGGGCGGAGTTTAGGTGGTGTGCCGGACCGTTGTGAAAGAACAGCCCCGATACCGGCTTCAGACGCGTCTACCTCTACTTGGAATGGTAAAGTGGGATCCGGGTGCGCCAGCACTGGAGCCGATGTAAACAGGTCCTTCAGTCTCCCAAAAGCCCTGTCCGCCTCAGCTGACCATCGCAAGCGCACAGGACCCCCCTTCAGAAGGGACGTTATGGGAGCTGCCACCTGTCCAAAACCCCGGATAAACCTTCGGTAGTAATTCGCAAAACCCAAGAACTGCTGCACCTCTTTAACCGTAGTTGGGGTTTGCCAATTACGCACGGCACACACACGGTCAACCTCCATTCTCACCCCTGACGCAGACAACTGATAACCCAAAAAGGAGACTGACTCCTGAAAGAACAGACATTTCTCGGCTTTGACATACAGGTCATGCTCCAACAATCTCCTCAATACCCTGCGCACCAGGGCTACATGCTCGGCCCGAGTAGAACTGTACACCAGAATATCGTCTATGTACACCACCACTCCCTGCGCCTGCATGTCCCGGAAAATCTCATCTACAAAAGATTGGAAGACTGATGGAGCATTCATTAACCCGTATGGCATGACGAGATACTCGTAATGACCGGAGGTAGTACTAAATGCTGTCTTCCACTCATCGCCCTCTCTAATGCGCACCAAGTTATATGCGCTCCTGAGGTCCAATTTTGTGAAGAACCGTGCCCCGTGTAAGGACTCCGTCATGGTCGCAATCAGCGGGAGTGGATAACTATATTTCACAGTCACCTGATTGAGACCGCGGTAATCAATACACGGACGCAAACCTCCATCCTTTTTCTTCACAAAAAAGAAGCTCGAGGACGCGGGAGAAGTGGAGGGCCGTATGTTATCCCTGTCTCAGAGACTCGGCAATGTACGTCTCCATTGCCCTCTTCTCCTCCTGTGACAAAGGATACACATGGCTCCGCGGGAGCGCAGCTCCTGCCTGGAGGTCTATCGCACAATCCCCCTGTCTATGAGGCGGCAACCGTGCCGCTCTTGCCTTGCTAAACACGAGTGCCAAATCCTCATACTCAGGTGGAATGTGCAGTGCTGGCATCTGGTTCGGACTCTCCACCGAGGTCGCCCCTACGGAAACACCCAGACATAGCCCCTCACACTGAGCAGACCACCCTTTAAGAGCCTTCTCTCGCCACGAAATCGTAGGATCATGGGTAATCAACCAGGGAAGCCCCAGCACCACCGGATACGCAGGAGAGTCGATCAGATAGAGTTGAATCGTCTCCTCATGACCCCCCTGCGTCTTCATCCTAAGTGGCGCAGTGACCTCCCTAATCAACCCAGATCCTAACGGACGACTATCTAGGGCATGTACAGGGAAAGGATTATCAACCGGAAGGAGGGGAATCCCTAACTCAACACAGAATTTACGATCTACAAAATTCCCAGCTGCGCCTGAATCTACTAGCGCCTTATGCTGGGAACGAGGTGCAACCTGTGGAAAACAAACAGG